TATATATATATATATATATATATATATATATATATATATATATATATATATATATATATATATATATATATATATATATATATATATATATAAAATGATGTTTGATGTGAAAATTTGCACAATAATTGCAGTGCTCTTAAACATGTGTGTTCCAATTGACGTAGAATCAAAAATTTATCTTTTATTATATATGTGTCATATTATAAGGTTATAAGTTGCTAAAGAAACCAAAAAAGATGAGTTTACTATGAAAAAGTTTATTTATATGATTTTAAAATGTTATGCACTCATAGCTCACTTAAATAAAACGAAAGAGATTTATACTTATTGTCACTTATAGTAAACTCTACTATGTCGATAAAGATACTAGTAATTCACCCATGGAGGTGAGCATGAATGAGTTTATGCCAACATATTTATAGATGATGACCTAGGCATTTTTTTTTATATAAATTTTAGATAAGATATAAATATATAGTTCTTGTTGTTAGGATCGGAGCGGCACTAAGAGGGGGGGGGGTTGAATTAGTACAACGGATTAAAACTTGTAAATTTGAAAACGATTTCATAACTGCGTAAAGATTTCAATTCGTTAATGACTTGGAGAAAGTAGCTCGAGTAAAGTGAGAAGATGAAAACCGAAAGCTTGCTGCAATGTAAATAATAGTTTTAGAAAAGTAAATACTCACACATTCAAGGAACACATCAATTTAAAGTGGTTCGGTCAAAATGACCTACATCCACTTGCGAAGCCATCTTCAATGAGGCTCCCAACTTTCATTAGCAAATCATTTTGAAGGGGAAGGATAAATACCCCTCTTACAACATTTTTACAAGTGGTTCACACTCTTATAAATTTTTCAAAGAGAAAGAGGGAGGTGAACACTTAAGCTATTGAAAACAAGACTTTTGCTAAAGCTTTTCTCAATTTCTAACTTCCCAAAGGTTGTGTTCTCTGCTGAGAATTGAGGGGTATTTATAGGCCCCAAGAGGATTCAAATTTGGGCTCCAAATTTTGAATTATCTTGGGTTTCCGAGGCTGGCGGTGCCACCGCCTATCGGTGTCTGACACCATTTCAGCTCACTAGTTGGGCTCCAAACTTGGCCCAAACTAGTTCGAACTCGGGCCCAATTGGCCCCTACTTGGGTTATAGGATTAACACCTAATCCTAACCCTAATTAATGTGCTAAATATGAATTTAAAGACATTTCCTAAGCTATTACAAAGTCCGCAAGTCAAGACTTCTTCCAGCTAGCTTCCGGTGAACTTCCGGCGGTCTTCCGATAAACTCTCGGAAACCATTCTACGGACTCCCAACAAGCTCCTAGACTTCACGATTTGATCTTGGTGAGTTCCAACGAGCTTCTTCGGCAAGCTTCGATCTTTCTCGGCGAGCTCCGCGAACTTCCAACGAACCTTTCGGCGAGCTTCTGAAAAACCCTTCAGCAAGCTCCCTACTCATTCTCGGCTAGTTCCGGCAGCATTCCCGACGAACCTTCGAACTTTCGTCGAACTCTCGAACTCGCAACGAATCCTTCGCGCTTGACTCCGACACTTTGTTTCGCTTTATGTCTTCCTCGTTATCGTAGTTAATCCTGCACACACATGTCAAAACTCTACTCCGATCTAGACAATTATTACAACGCGAATCGACATTCTGTTGCCCGGCACGTCATTGGTTGGCGCTTCGTCCGATTCTTCAGCGCATTGTCCTCTCTTGTGGCTTTTTGCCCAATCGGCGATTGACCTCCGCAACCCCGATATCCTTGACATAATTTCGCTCTCCTTGGCCCGATGCCCGACGTCCGAAGCCTTCTGCCGTCCAATATCCTGACGTGATCTCCTCCGGCACAACGTCAATTCCTTCTGCATCAACTATCTAATCTTGATCGAGTAGACCTGCATCACTCAAAATACAGTTAAACATCTAAACACAATCAATTAGTTTCATTATCAAAATATGAAATTCAACACTTGTGTTTATAACATATGTACTATCGTCACACATTAAGTTACATCATTTTTCTTTGCAAGTGAAAATACCTTAAATTTGTTTACTTTTCTGTCATATTATTATTTTTATTGGTTATATTATTGTTGATAGCATAAGTAAATGATAATATGATATACCATATTCTTGTCATGTACACATGAGTGTAATTAAGAGTACCATATTTTGATGAAGGCCGGCCTCTCTTAACCATTTCCACCTTACCTTCTTACTCCACAATCATTGAATGTGATGTTGCTTCCCTTCTTAACGATTTCCACCTTCTTACTCATAACCATTCCCTTATGAGTGCGATGAATATGATGCTTCCCATATTCTTGTCATATTATATGATGCTTTCCTTATGCTTCCCATATTATTCTTAAAGACCGGCAAGGAAGGGTGAATCTTGGAAACTAGCCGGCTGTATCTCTTGCACGATGAACTCGCCGGAATGCTACGCCATACTGGATAGAACACTAAGACTTAAGTCATCAAATATGGATGGGTGGGATCGAACTCCTTACAATCTATTAAGCTACTCGATCGAATAGGATAAATACATTGGAGTATCAAGAACATTTTAAATAATTGCTTTTTGATGGCACAAGATGTAGTCATTAGCCAAATGGGGGCTTTCGATTCGGGATGATAATTATGATGATGCTCCTCATTCCGTGGCCAAGTATGTCAGACCAAAGCAAACATTCTCTACTTAAAAAGGGTGACTTGATTTCACTTTGTAACGTAGTAATACCACTTTACTTTTCTTTCGAAAAAAAATATATATTTTATGTGGTCCTTTATTTTTTGTCTAGGTTATTTTTAACAATTAATTCCTTAAGACTTATACATGCATGATAGCGGATAAGATTAGTCGGTTGAGGAAATCTCTAAGCAATTGAGGAAATCTTTGAGCAGTTGAGAAAAATCATCGGTGTTGTGTATAAATAGCTATTAAGAACTCAATATCTAAATAAACTATGTAATTACATTTCATAGTTTCTTTTATAATTTTTATCTTTTTATCTTTTTCGTTTAATTCTTTACAATGCATTGCATGGATTGGAATAAATTTTATTAATTATAAAAAAAATATTAGAGAGGTCATGAGAAAGAAGATAAGATGTGATTTGAGGGACTTATTATCAATCGTTAAAATTTTTATCAACTTAATTAATTGACATCTTTAAAAAGAGTTGAGTTAGTTGCATCAGTCCAAGAAAATAATATAATTTTTTTCAAAAAAATAGAAAGCTTTATTTATTTAAAGGCTTTATTGGAAAAAACATCTCACTATTGGCTTTTTTTTACTATATTCATTTAATGTAACCCATTTTTTGTTTTTTAAATCATATATTAAGAATTTTAAATATTTCTAAATTATCTCTTTGTAAATATATATATATATATATATATATATATATATATATATATATATGTCTTTGATTTATAACTTAATTTTAATAAAATCATTTTACTTCTTACCTATAACTCTCTTTTCTTTCTGTCTCATTATTCTTTTCTTCTCCTTCTTCTCCTCTTAATTGCTTACTGAAGGTGACGGAAAATGACATAAGAAAATAGATGATGAAATGAAGAAAATAGATGATGAAATGAAGAGGAAGTGAAAAATAAATTTTAATGTTTTTCATAATGATTTAATGTTTTTAAGATTATGTATATCCTATAATAACTCAAAAGATATCGTCTTTTTCTAGAAGATCAATTACATTAACTCTGCAAACTGCTTGGCAATAGCCCTCATAGGAGAGGGCTACGAGGAAGAAAAAAAATAGAATTAAAAGGGATTGTGAACAATAAAATATTATTTTATTAATTTTTTTTATGGGATTATGAATAGTAAAAACGAGTTCTAAATAGTCAGCTCTTATTCGTTTTTACTTTTACTTGGTAGTGCAATTTGCTAAAATGACTTGATCATATGTATTATTAAAAGAAATCTAATTTTGATAATTAATTATTCTAAAATTCTAAAAAAAATGATAAGAATCATCTTGGAATCATGTCATAGTAATTCTGTGAAATTTCGAATTGATTTAATAAAAGTTAAAAATTAAGTTATATTCGATTATGAAACATATTTTTTAAAAATTAATTTTGATAATTATCTTTTATCATAAAATTTTTAAAATAGAAAAAGTAATAATAATAATATAATAATCATTTTAAAATCATGTCTCAGATTATGAAACTTATTAAAAATCTTTAATTTTGATAATTAATTATCATAAAATTCTATAAAAAAAATTGATACTAATCATCTTAAAATCAAGAGTTTGAGTTGAATTAGTGAAAGTTGATCGAATTACACTTAACATAACATATTCATTAAATCTCTAATTTTGATAATTATCTTTTATCATAAAATTTTAAAAAAAATACTAATAATCTTAGAACATGTCAGATCATATTAGTTTATATTAATTTAGTAGAAATTGATAAAGTTACACTCGCTCAGATCATGCCCTGCTAAGTGACTATAACTCCAGCGAGTCAAATTCAAGATGTAACTCTCTCAGGAAGAACAAAAACTCAGGAAGAACAAACAAAATGGCCCACATCCTCTGTATTATATTTCCTACACAGCAACAAGATTCCAGTATCCTCTGTAAAGAAAAATGCAGAAAGCCAAGCTAAGTCTTTACATGAGATCATTCGATTGAGATAAAAGAAAAAGAAAAATCAAATGAAGATGAAAATTATCTGATGTTGATACAATAAGTGCACACCACGACTGACAACCATTTACCACCACAAAAGGGTTCACTGAGAGTAAGATGGGAAGCTGGTGCTACAAGGGTGAACCAGATACGACCTGCAGAGAAAGATTCAATCAGCACTAAACAGCTTTATCTCATAAAAATGCACCCAAATGACCGGTGGTCGGTGCAGACAGTCAATTATTTCTAACAGTCAATTATCAATGGATCGACAAGAGTTAAGCATTTTTATATCATGGTGAAGGAGACCTTTTGAGATTTGCAGAAACCTGGTTTTGTTCTGGATCCAGACGTAGTCACCCAAGTACAGCAAACAATATACGTAAATAACAAAGGTTGCGGAGGTGATGAGATGGTAATTTGATTTTAAACTCGAACGCCTCATGTTGACATGTCAGAAAATTGAACAATTTCAAAGATAAAAATAAACCACCGCTAGTGTCATGTGATGTTCTCATTTGGCCAAACAAAAGACATGGTGAGGAAACCAGAGAAATGAAAAGCACAGACAAGAGACATGAAGACTGTAGGATGGTAGGTGGCAAAAAGCAAGACAATCTTAGGTGCAAAGAATGGGACATAGCTTTCCTGATGACGAAGCACAGGTAGAGACAAAGCCAACTGCTACTTGTCATGAAGTAGGGCTTGATGGAGGAATTTATTTTTAATATCAAGAGTAACCGGACACAAATTAAGGAGACCTGGAAAAAAGGATTATGATTAGAGCAAAGAGCAAAGCTTAAATGCAGATATATTTTGAGTAACCGTCATTGGGTTTTCGCAAAAGTAGAACTATTTGATTAAGATCTTCTTTACAAATTGTTTTTATATATAAAGTTTGTAAGGATACTGAGTAAACATGAATTGGTATCAATCTCAATGATCCTACCAGTTGAAATCAATCCTCACAAGGAAACATGGCATTTGGCTAAATATTAGAAACCGGAAAAAAGAAATACAAAGAATGGACATAATACGATATGAAATCCAGAATATGCATCTTAAAAAGTAGACATAACAAAACCGTACCTACAGGAAACCGGATTTATTCTTCAAAATCTCATTCTAGAACGAACTGTTCCATGCTGTCTTTCAGAATGGATATCTGGCCCTCCTTGAGAAGTATGTCTTCGTCAAGAGTCTCAATCTTCTTCCTGAGACAACTAACCTCATTCTCCAGAAGCATGTTAGTCTTTCTCAACTGTTTCACTTCCTCCCACATTTGCTCCTTTTCCTGAGAGACGTTTTGGAGTACGCTCTGAACAGAAGTTAGATCCCTCATGGAAAACTGCATCTCCTGATGGAGCTGAGAGATTGTCTCATCCTTCTTCAGTATCTGCTATTTTGATGACCCTCATCATTGTCAAGTTCATAAAAAAGCAAAAGTGATTCATCAAGGTACCAAGTCAATAAAAAGTAGTAAATCAAAAGACACAAGTTTAGAAAAAAATAGAATTATGGAGCATCAACTGCATAATGCTGGTTCCTGAGCTAGTCACAGTGAACTACTTTTACTGACACAGAAAAATCTACAATGTCCCTCAAGCTGCAGGATAGCAAACTGCCTTACCAATCTCAAGACCTCATTAGAACTAAAGCAACTTTGTTCTCCTGAAGGCATGAAGTCATTGAGATTTTGTTGACAAGTGAATTGATAAATGTAATCATAAATTGTGCTCATTGCGACATCTAAGTTACATGAGAGGGAAAATATACATAAGAGCAAGGATTAAAGTTCCAACCCTACCAGTCGATACAGGACATTTTTTATTGATCTGATGGATACCAGTATGTGATTTGAGCAATTTTGCCAGATCCGATCCTTGGAACCAAGCTTATCACATTGTATCTTAATACATTGGATTTATCGAGCGATAAGCTAATCAATGCTTAACCATAGACCCGCTGTACTTTTTTATTTTTTTTATCGCTACTTCTCTCCTCCATTGCTAGCATTTCTCCTTCACGTTCCTGCCCCCACTGCTTGTTTGTATCACTGCATTGCTGTCTTTCCGACATTATACTATAAAACTCCACCACCTATCTCTCTCTTTTTTGTTTGTAATGATCCAACCGGTATACTGACACTTGCCAACTTGTATCGACGTAGTATATTATATGGTACTAAATATTAATGCTCCACAGGTCTGGTCGCCAACCAGTATATTCACTTGACCATGTAGCACCGAAAAATAGAATATAAAAAACTCAAAAGAAACACAGATAATGCACTCTGTGACATCACTCTCATCAACCAAGTAAAATATCTGTAAAAATAAAGCCTACCTGCTTATGCAAGTAAAGGTTGATTCTCCAGTAACTTCACTAGAGCAAGTAAACTTAAAAAGAAGCTAAGTGGTTTTTCTAATGATTTTAATGGGCCTCACATAATTGCTAGAAGCATTTATGTTCTCAAGGTGGTCAATTATTTAAATTGATGGAGAAAAATAACGGAGCAGTGGTATCTCAAATAATCAAGACAACTTATGATGCATCAAAACTCAAAAGCAATAAAAACAGAAGTAACCCAAATTAGCAATCAGATCTTCTATGAATTATGATTTAGTAAACTACATAAAGTTAATACATTAGTACATCCAAACAGTAAAGAATTATTTAGTACTAGTCTAGGATAAAGCAAACGAAGGTAGAAATACATAATTTCATACACTAGTACATTCAAACAGTAAAGCATTATTTAGTACTAATCTATGATCAAAGAAACACAGTTAGAAAACAAATGTAAGCAAGCCCTTCATGTATACATTCACCTGAAGTTCCAAGTCCTTCATCTTGTGGGTAAGACAAGAAAGTTCATCTTGCAGTCTCTGGTTAGCAGTTTGCAGGATGCCACGAGCCCTAACTGAAGTTGCAAAGTCAGCTTGTAATTGCTCGTATTCCAATTCTCTGGAGCACAGATTCTCTTTCAATACTCTCGATAGTATGGCTTCTGCCCTCAGGTTTAACAACATTTCATCCTGAACAGGTAAAGTGGACAACAGATGACATGCTGAACAATGTGAATGAAATAACTTCTGGAAACATTGATGCGAGCCTTTATTCATTAAGCAGTTAGGATACAAACAGTTTAACTTTTTCCTACTTGAACAAACACCTGATGTTCAATTCAGTTCTGGAATAAAAGAACATAATAGAAAGGCCCAACCCAACTGTTGTCGATCTAAATATACTCTACAAGGTTTCAAGTTCTAGTTGAACCATTAGGTACTATCCGATAATTACAGCTACAAGCTTTGCAGATTGGCTACTGGACTTGTGTCGGTCGATGGTATGTACCTTGGTACCAATAAGGAGCTTTCAGGGAGGGGGAGGAGGAGAAGGGGGAGAAGAAGAGAAAGACAAGAGGAGGAGGAGGAAGGGGGGGAGAAGAAGAGGGGGAGGGTGGAAGAGAGAGAAGAGGGGGACCGGGGGGGGGGGGGGGGGGGG